TTTGAGGAAGCGGCTCTGTAATAAATAAATGTGGATGAGGAGGTCCATCTGGGAACAACATTTTTCAACAGAGCTCTCCTGACGTGATGCCTAGTGGGCTTTATAAATATCCTGGGCCCATCCGCGCAATGTGAACTGTGTTTCACCCTCCCACACCCTTCCCCTTTGAGTGTTTGCCTTCTGCTCGCAGTGAAAAGCAGGCTTTACTTTGCTTTGTTTGTCCCTCAGCGCTTACCTCCCACTTTCTCCCTGTTAACTGTCAGTGTTCAAAAGCAGAACATTGGAAACCACATGTGAAACAGAACTCTCTTGGCTTCACAATGTAGGTGAATGACCCAGAGGGATTTTTTTGTCATAAGGGAGCTTGGGAATATCAGAATTGAAGGTGCTAATCTCTTGCTTTTTGTATGACCCAGGCACAAAACAAACTGAATAGCCTACATTTGGCAGTTTTTAATTCAAAATTGAAAACTGCAATATCAAAAGCACACTAATATCGGTTTAAACATATTACTGCAAGAAACCTACTTACCTAGTGGTGCCTTGCGCGCCGTGGCTCTGATCTGGTGTTGTTCCTAATCATATCTGTTGATATGATGTTCCAGAAAGAAACCTTAATGAACACCAGGCGATAATGTTTTCTGTGTAGCTCCAAAACCTCTTTCCCAACAAAGATTCCCATATAGATATTGTGCTTCTCTGCAAGCTCTGGAGAAAGGATATGCCTGGCAGCCAGTGATGAATAGCATTTATGAAGAGCTATGCCCCACATACCAAGTGTTTGACCTTGTGTTGTAGAATAACAGCCATATCCACCTGATGCATATGTATGGTGGATACACCTGTAAGGGCTGAATACTTTAAACATCCAAGTGAAGTGATTCAAAATGTCTTGGTATAGCTGAAATGCTTCAAGCTATTTGTTTGTGCCATGTTCCTTTGTTCGGTTTGATGCATTCTACATATTTTATGAATGTGACAGAATGAACAGAGACATATTAAGCCTGTATTTGACACTTACCATGTTTCTGAATCTAATGACTTTCAAAATGTACTCAATAATTCATTAGCGGGTTGCGGCTAATTTCTTACATTTATCTACCCTGTGTGTTTGTGTGTTTGAGGGCTGACACCCTCTGAGCCTGCTGCTCCCTTTGACCTTTAACACCACAGTGTATAATAACTCTTACTGTCTGACAGGTCAACTGAGGCGTCACGGCAGGCCCCTTGCTGTGGGTTAGGGCTGAGCCTTTTTATCATACTACGCACCCTGTGATGGATGAACCCGGCAACACACTGGCGAGAGGGCTAACTGCGTTGTTCAGAGAAAGCGGATGAGGAGTTGTAACAAATAACACCCCGCTGAACTCCACTCTACTACCTTCTTGTAGTCCCCTGGCTTCAGGCTCTTTCGGCTATCCCCTTCCGACAGGGTTTTCTGGTTCACAAAGCACAAGACTTATGAGGTTTATTGCAGGTAATAGTCCACTGCTCACTAAGCCAGTGTCTGAGTCCACTTGTCTCTAGTGTTTTACAGCAAAGTAAGGGGGGTGTCTGTTAGGTGCTTAAGTGCAAATGTGGAAAAATCAGTTATGTTTTTCTCGACACAGCTGGCAGAAATGATGGTATTTGTTAAAGGATAGTATAGTTTAAGATATTAATTGATTGTGAAGTGAAAATGGCCATGAAGTGCTTTTGGAAACACATTTATCATATGCAGCATCAAGCTTCAAAGTCACAGTGCACCATCTGCCAGGAAACTGGGAGTCAGAGGATCTGTGAGTGTATGTGAAGTGAATAACGACAGAATCCTGCACTGGCTGACGTTTTACATGCGTTCAGCATCACTGCACAGAGAGCCAAACGGGCTCCTATAATGTATTTAATGGATCATTGGAGGCTGACTTTCCAAGCGGGCTGTGTTGGGATTACAAATGCTTGGACAGCATATAGGAAAAATACAGTCAGATTTGTTGCTCTTCTTTAAAATAGGCTATAGAAGAGGGTTCAATAGCCAGGGTGCAGAATAGGTTAATTATGACTATTAAACATTTAAAGAGGACATATTATGTATACTTCCAGGTTCAAAATTGCATTTTGTGCCTCTTCTGTGCCTGTGATGCAGCACTTCTTCTGAAACCAGAGCCCAGTCTGCTCTGATTGGTTAGCTGGCTGGCTTTGTTGTGATTGGTCGACTGCTAGAGATGTGTTGGACATTTCTCAAGCCTCAGCCTATTATGTCAAATGTGTTGAAGTGTTAGCCTATAAGCACAAGTGTAGTGATGTCATAATGTTACAGAGGATAACAAAGGAGTCAAATCGAGGCGGTTGAGGCAGGGGGGGAGGCTGTGGGAGGGAAAGTCTTTCTGGAGTTAACTTTCAAAAAGCAAAATAGGGCCTCTCTAAGACAAACTTGCATAACAATTTCCCGTTGGTATCAAAGTGATGACCATGTTTCTACACTGAAGTAACTTGAATACTTTTTATGAGGTTTTAAAACCATGGTACAATCCTAAATAAAACTGAACTGTCCAGCAAAGACACCTGGGAATGTAGTCACAGCTGAGACAGCTCTATGATTTCTCCCCATATGACTGAACCTTTAGTCCTCTGCTTCCACCTGCGCCTGGTCAGTCACCCTGGAGTTGAGGGCTTGCAGCAAGGAAAGGGCTTTCCATGCCCCCTTTGATTTATTCAGTATTTGGCTAACCTTGCTCTGAACCTTCCCCATGAGATTTCCAGCCATTTCAGCCCTCCTCTTCCAGCATACGTGAACTACATGCCTCCTCGACCTAGTTCCATCCCAACATGTTTCTTCCCCCTCTGCTTTCGCAACAGCTCACTCGGAGAATGAGAAACAGGCCCTTGAAGGAGGCTCGGGTTCACTCTCGGCAGATTCGTGTGTCCCCCCTCCCCACCCAGTGCGGGTCACCTACTGATCACAATGTGCGACCCTATCGTGAGTGCACAGGGGGGCATTTATGGTTCGCAGGGATTCAAATGAATGTTTATGAGGCCTGTCTTGCAGCCAAAGGGCAGGCGCTATCCCAGCTTTTACAGCCACTCTCATGGGTTTACTTTTGGTGGTGAGTTTCTGCTTTGACTTGTGCTCAGTTATGGGGTGTCTTTCTGTGTGTCTGAATCTGTGATCTCCAAATCCCTTCTTGTGCGGTTGAAGTGTTACTCTCAGGGCAGCAGGGGGAACGTTCTTTGTGTTTGTACTCTGTGCGTGTTTGTTTTACAGAGCCCTAGGACCACAAGAAATTCACTTTCGTCTTTCAAGTTTACTTTTTTATTTTACTTCTGTCCCTTTAATGTTGGCTGGTTTTGCAAACTGCAATATATGCATGTATTGTCATGCTGCATATATTCTCTTCTTAGCTAAAGTGTTTTGGCTTCATGATTAACTTCACTGCAAGGGAAGAGAAAACACGGCCTACAGATAAGCACACATTTGCGCTCCGTTGCATTTTCAGTGAACATTGCTCTTTGCTCCGATCTAAATATACTAGTTACAGTCTCAGAGGGAACAATCACATAATCTCAGTAAGCAAATAAATACAATGATGAGGTCTGTAGATAAAAAGGAGGTGCTTTTTCTTTTGAGAAGTCACACATTAATCATACTGTCCTTTTAATGTGTGAGCGCAAATGGATGGAATAATATACACAGCAGTATAATTACATGCAGTGGAAATTCTTTGTGCTAAATTGATATTTTTTCAGTTTCAAGCCCTGGTGTGCATTTGTGGTTTATTTGTATTTGTATATTTTAGAAGCCTTCCCATGAGATTAAGACAAATGCAACTAAGTGTGGTATTTTCCGTTTTACAGCAGCTTTTATATTGCCGCTTTTACGGCGTTAAAACCTCACTGTGGTGAGATTTTAGCCTCATTTCATAAAAAATGTATCAGTTACAATTCACCAGCTACCATCTGTGAGGGTAGAGCACAACCCCCCCTTAACCTTATTAGTTATTTTACTGCAGCTCATAATCCCTAATGGCCTTTTGTTTGTGTGGAGCGGTGTAAGCTGAACTTTTCATTTTGCTTTCATTCAGGTTTTGATCTCTCTGTTGGTCTAATCTTTATTTGTCGGAATGACCTTCATGCAGGGTACAGCTGACTACACTCAAAAGAAGTCATAACAGCCAGGAAAAGTGTTTATTGTTTTGTCTGGTAAAATACATTTGGAGAAAACTAGATGGTACCCACACTGGTGTTCCTGTTGCTAATGACTCTTACTAAATTACTGGATTTGTTGTGTAACTGAGGTTCCACTCTCAGGTCTATTCAGGGTTGAACACATTTACATCTTATCTAACAGTCATTGACAAACAACCACAAACACACCACAATAAAAGGGGATTCAAATTAAGTACAGCCTCCGGTATGAAGGGTACTGACCTCTTTGAGCATAGAAATACACCAATTCAACACTGGTCAATGCAATAGCCTTAGAAAAGCATAATAGGGTCCCTTTAAGAATTACAGTGGAATGGGAAGAGATATTTAAACACAGGAATCCCTTCAATGGACAAAGTTAGGTGTGCAATAGGCTGATACGGCGTTTTCAACTAAAAGCATAGGTTGACAATTGCAACAATACGCATCTTGCTGAGATGTAGAAACATCAATACTGATGAATGCAAACAAGACCATACCCAAAATGGCAAACTATGCATTTCGAAATTCTACTTTAAGTGTGGCCCTCAACCAGGCAGTTAAATCATGCTTTTTTTCATTCTTAAATAATATCCTCAAACATTATGAATTTACACAACCCTCACTCTTCTTTTAGCTAAATGCTTGGAACATGCTCACCTTCATATGCAATAAAACAAAAGAGGCTCCATATTGGCCCTCTTTTTCTGGGGTATTAGCCTCCGGGCTAGCCTCCGGGCTAGCGCTTATAACAATCACATTATTATCTACTACAACAAAAGTGTAGCAGTTGCAGACAGGGTTGTTTGAGTGTTAGCCAAGCAAACATAAACCACTTGTGATACAGTCATCTTTATTTAGAGGTTTACTTTGAGCTTACATAATTAAGGGCTTAATATGACTGCTGTTCTTTCAGGGCCAAACAGTCTCTCTGCATGTCCACATTCATTGAATGTGTTCTGGAACACACTGGACAAGTGAGGACGAGGTCCTGACCAACTTGTTTTGAGTTTATTATTTGTATGCAGCATTACATCATCCCCCCTTTAACATTTTCGGTCAACAGAGACAGGCAAGAACACACATGCCCCCTCCGAGCCTATGTTTTATGTTTTGTCAACATCGTCTGTCACAGTCACTGATCTCATGCTTGTTATAAATCAAAGGTGTTATCACACTGCCATGGGAGTCAAAACCCAGACACAAAACAGTCTGTACCTCCCAAGTGTTCAGTTTTTTCTATTTTCATCATGCACAATGAAACACAGTGCATCCCTAAAACTTAATTTTATTATCTTTTTTTGATTCAAAGACACATTAAAAGGTGAATAAAAAAGGAGTGTAAAACGGGTTTAAAACATGTGTCAAAAACTTCCAGAGAAACTACTGGTACATACCTAAGCATGGCTTATGTTCAAATTGAGGCATTCAGTCCTGCATACTATACACATAGGCACACACACATACAAATGAGGCATGGCTATATCCTGCAGTTGATCTTGATTCTACCTGCAGAAGCAACCACCTTGCATGTCCCCTAAGTCTTCACACTATCACAGGGCATCTTCCACTTCCAGATGTCTTAAGGTCCATATTCCCTTCATTACACCCCAGAGCTGTTGAGGTCTCTCGCACATTGAGTGCTATCAATGTTCATGTCCTCCCTTTGAAGGTGTTCATGCAGGTGTAACTCCCAGAAAACTTGTGGATTTCTTCAAGTGCCACTTGTGGCATGAAGCTGGAAAGTGCAGAAATATCAGGGATGGAGTGTTAAGCAGGGAACAACATAAAATAACACAGAAGAAAGATGTTAAATGGTACTTTGTTTACCTTTTTAAAAAGACAAGGGCATGCATAGTCCAGGGCAAATAGAGGAAGGCCTGGTCAGCTCTCACTGCATCCACAGTCCTCTGGGCAACCATCTCCGGTTTGAGAGGAGGAAAGAGCTGGGGAAACCTGAGAAAAACAATAAAGCACTTTTGAGAAAAAGTGTAGATATTTCTGACAAAAAACATTTATTTTAAAGTTGAAACAGAGCATAAAATACTGCTTTAGCTAGATAGACATAATTTGAATGGCAAACAGCAACAGAGTTTAGATAAATACATAGTTTAAGCTGCCAAACCATATATATGTTTGATGTTCTCAAGAGCTATTGCAATGTGAATTATTTGCAAATATGGGAAAAGGTTGGGTGTAATCACAAACCTGTTCCAGAACCTTCTATGTTATAGATGGAAAACTACTTACACAGCTCAGCACTATCAGAAAGTGGCCCTTTTATGCTTTTTGGGGTTTTCCCTTTTCTGTAGTGTGTTATTGTATACAGGTTTTTGTGCATGTAAATGGTCTGCAAAGACTTAAAACCCCAAAGTTCCCTCCAGAGGGAGTTTCTCTCCCACTCCTTTGTTTACTTCCGTAACATAGTTACATCACTATGTAACACTGGCACTTCTATGCTAGCGCTTCAACACATTAAACGAGATAGGATAAGGGGTGGGACATTTCCAACAAACTTCTAAGCGATTGACCAATCACAACAAAGCTGACCAGCTAACAAATAAGAGCAGACTGGGCTCTGGTTTGAGACAGAGGGTGAAAAGAGGTGCTGCAGCACAGGCAGTATGAGAAAAATAAAGACCTTTTTGAAAAATGAAAGCATGTAAACATGTCACAGTAGGGTCAGAAAATATGAACCTGAAAATGAGCTTAAAAGTATAAAAGTTCAGTGTCATTTATTGAGACTTCAAGACAGGCCCTAGGGGGAAGACAGATTGATTTTAAGTAGATAGATGAATTTTCCACTCCATTAAGCAGATCTCACTGCAATGTAAAGGTTTTAACCTAGGTTGACCTAGATGAAAAGTCAGAGGCACCTTGAATATCTTTAAATAGCAAATTTCACAGCAATATATTTAATGGTCAAGTCATTTCCCTGATGGAAAAGTAATTGGATCCCTGCTGTCAGAAGCATATTTCCTGTAGGGAATACCGATGTACAAAATCCAGCCCTTCAACCGCTGTTCAGATATTTCGGATTGGACAAAAATGGTTGACTGACTGACCTAAGGTCCGGCAATGCTTTCCCAAGAACCACAATGTTAGTACTGTTCAAGTAAAATGGCATAGCATCTTTCAATACCTGACTCTCATGCCCTGGAACATCTCGGTGTTGCAGTGGAAGGGAAGCACGGTGGTGCAGCCGACGCCGGGGCAGTCCAGCATGCCCAGCGTCAGACTCTCCATGAAGGCCAGCGACGAGGCCTTGGAGGTGTTGTAGTCTATGGCCCCAGGGATGGGAGACTGGGACAGGATGGAGTTTATGCACACTACGTGACCGTGCTGCAGCTCCAGCATCCGAGGCAGGAAGGCTTTTGTAGTCTGGGATAAGAAAAGAAGAAAGGGAGAATTAAGACAAGGTGGAAGGAAGCGTGGAAAAAGAAGGTGAAATATATTCAGCAGAACAAAAAGAAGAGCAGACAAGAGAAACAGGCCCTCAGTCACAGATTACATTTCCATTTAGTTGATAATTGCATTTCTGTTGGCATATGACAGAGGCTTTTGATCTCTATTCAAAATAGAAATGCCATGAGTTTCAAAATCCTTCTGAGGTTTCAGGGGCTGGAAAAGCAATTTGGAAATACCCCACTTAACCTGCCATAATAGCAGTCATGATTGACAAGTCTGGGGGGGGCTACTGTATGAAATGCCATGCTATAATCAAATTATGAAAATGATAAGGGTAATCTGCTACGAGGAATTCCCCTACTACTGCGTGCAAACTGCGTCTGCTAAAGTCTCTGCAAGTCTTACCCAGAACTGTCCCAGGGTGTTGATGTGTTGGGATTTCAGAAGGGCGTCGTCATCGCTGTCTATCAGACTTTTGCCGTGCACCACAGCTGCATTGTTCACTAATATCGTAACATCCCCCACCTGAGATTTAAAAAGCACATCCATAAAAAAAGAACACTGTAATCATAGATTGTATGCGTTTTCTGTCTGCTTTCATGAGATGATACAGTTGTGCTGCACCAGAGCTGTCAGCAATATTCCCCCCTCTTATACAGATATTTCAGATGAAGTGTAATCTACACGCCAGATGGGAGACAGAGCTGGGAGCCAATATACATTATACAGATGCATCACAAAGAAGCATTTTATCATGTGTTTAACCATGTGCAAACAACATTGCTTTTAGTAGCAATTTCTTTGTGTATAAAAAGCTGGCGTACCTTTTCTCTAACCACCTTGGCTTGCTTGTAAACTTCTTCCCGATTGGCCACATCACACAGGAAGTAATGGCACTCTGTTCCTGACAGAGAGATCTCTTCTGCTGCTTCTTTAAGGCACTTTTCTGTTCGGCCCCACAAGATCAACTAGCAAACAAGAACATGTTTAAAGGTTAGAAACAGAGAGATTAGAGAAATGTGAGGCATTGGTAATGTGCTGATATTTAAGGGGAACCAAGTGACCCGTTGTTTAAATGTGGAACAAAAAAGGCATGTTATTACTGTCAGTCATCAACAAACATGACATATGCTTTGCGCAATTTTTCTGGCAATGAGCCTTCGTGTAACTGTGGAGATCTTTGAGCAGAAATGCTCTTTTCATTCAGAGAACAGAGAGGTTGTTTACACTCCAACAAATAGTTTTAGAGCAAGATTAAAGGCTTGGGGGTTGCTGTGTGAATGAATTGTCCCTTCATCCACCCGGAGACTAAATGAAGGTCCGGTCATTTGAGCAGGGAACATGGGGTTGCATGGAGGTGGGGGACTAGTGATTGGGCAATTAGATCTGTCAGTCTTTGGGGTCAGGGAAAGGTAATGAAATCAGGGGGTGAGCCCTCCTCATCTCTCAAACACAAATTCTCAAAGAGATTACACGGGCTGTTGGGCAGATGAGCCCCGTCATTTCTGGTCAGGGCGTCTGAAAACAGTGCGTGTGTGAGTGGACGCCAGTGTGGGATTTGGCCGGTCGCCCGTGACCGAGGTTAATATTCGAGCAAAAAGTCTTCTGGAAAGTGATCCTGTGTATGTGAGAGACAAACTGACAGCGTGTGTGTTGCCTTTCTGATGGATTCAATAGCTATAGAGGATCGCACGTCATCTTCTGCAAGTATTAAACCTGTCATCCTGCAGTAACAAAATAAGTCAACATTTGTATAGAGCCTAAAATAACATATTCATAATAACCAATGTTAATTTAAACATACACAACCCTTTAATACCACAAAATAACTGTATTGCTATTCATCCTTTGCCTTTTTCGTGTGTCAATGACGGATGGTAATAATGGCATAAACAAACATTAATACTGACACTGTTAAGCTCTAGAAAATAAAACACATTTACAGTCTAGTATGTTCCTAATTTCTTTATCAGATATGAAGCATTAAGGCGGGGCTCCCCCTGTGAGCGGCCCTTGTTTGAGTTACTCTTGATTGGGTTTTTTTGTTTGCTTCATTTGCAAGCCCATTTGAGCAATCAGTCAAGGCAGACAGGTCTTGATAAATAACTGAAAGCTTTTAATAGGATTTGAGCCCTACAAACAAAGCTGACAGCTCTCATTAAAAGTCAGCACTCAAACTGTGCTCTCCTGCTAAAATGTTATTTAATTAATTAGGTTCATCACCCGTCACAACACACAGGACCCTCAGAACAAACAAGCATTGGCCAAATTGCAATCTGGATAGAAACGGTAAGAAAACTATTATTTTATTGACCTTGCACAAGCCCCCTTTGGCTATCACTGATAAACCAGCCATAACTAGGCCTGCCTTACATTACATAACGCCAACACATGTTGTAAAGGTAAAGTAAAGGCTCTCTAATTATGTGGCAAGGCCTGAAGCAGGAGACAGAGTGGAGATGCCATTCAATACTGGTTGTGGTGTACCTCTGTGTCCCCATAGCTCCAGCTGAATTACAGTGATACTCTATCTCTCAGGTCTGAATGTATGGGTGGGTAGGAACCCTCCTTTTCACACCCATTGTATGGGCCAGCAGAGAGGCGGCACACAGAGGGGGCAGCAGGAGTTCAGGAGGCAGTCGCCTGCCGCTGTCTAATTACTGCGGAGACAGCAAGGTCAGTTGCAGGGCAATACCCAGCTGGGAGCGTTGGGCTTCCCGCCCCCAGCACAACACACACGCACACAATCCCCCCCCCCCAAACCTGTTGTCAGTGCCGTGGTTTGGTTCATCTTCCTAGCAATGATGTAATGTCTCTTTATGTAATGCTTACAAACACATAAAAGTCAATGAACTCTGCAAACGCTTTCTTCTAAAGTTGTTGTCTGAGAAATACTATGAGCTTTGAAGAAATAAGCTGTTAACTATTTACTGGCATTGTTCTGCAAGCTCTGAACTTGGATGCCGTGTTTGAAAATACTTTTGCTCTCTGGTTTATTGTTTCAGAGCTTTGTTCTGCAACGGTTCCCCCCCTAACAGCACACAAGAAGACCTGGCTCCCCCCTTGAGTCCCCGGCTTTCAATCTCGCCTGATTTTTTCCTCAACGCTGTAGTTAGTCTTCCTCACACCGTGAAAACACCAAAAGCCCAAGCAGAAGGAAAAGGAAATTCCGGCTGCCAATCACAAAGGGGCTCAAACTGGGGTTAGTGCAAGTTCGTAGAGGTTAGCCCTTTCATAATTACCGTCCTATTTCCTCTTAGCATCTCCTTAGGCAGGGAGTGATTGTCATACACATTACCACAGGTGTTGTTTTCAAAGCCTTCACACCTAGATAATACCCAACAATGGGGTGCTGAAAAAGATGGTGACGTCCTTTGTTGTGCAGCTGCAAAGTAAAGCTTTTAAAACCCACTGGTTTCTCCTTGCTAGTTCCCCAAGGACATAGCATTGAAGGACAGAGGGGGGGCAGTTAGTGTTTCATTGAGCTTTTAGCAATGTTTTCAAGCTGCTTAAATTGCATCCGAGATGTGGCGTTGTGTCACACATTTACAGATAATTATAACCCGCAGCTCTCAGCTGAGATGCTCAGTGCTTTCTACCGGGGAAATTATCCCGCTTTTCTCCATGTGTAAGGATGATTCCCATCTGAGTTGATCAAAAATAGAGCTACTCAGTATTAACACGTTATTGCTTAAGGGACACCAGCGGGTACATCAGGCACTCAGCTGTGTAATGTTCACCCACAGGATTGGTAGACAAACCGTAGCTGGGAACGATGATGGGAACAGAGTCTAGCATGACCTGCATGGACTGTCTGTGTAGCCACTGGAGCATTCCAGGCCCAAGTGACGGCTCCTTGTTAGTGGGGTGAGGGATGGGGGGGAGTGGGGTGAAGCGGGAGGGTGCACCAGTTGGGTGATTCTCTGAATTGGCAGGACTGGATGACTTCCCTTATTGAAGAATACCTACGGGTATGCACAAATGGCAGCCAACAGATCAGTCTAACCCAGAGATGTGATCAAATATAGACGCCCCTCAACTTTAAAATCTGTAAAACAGAAAACGATTTGATTCACGGTTAAGAGCATGTCACATCAAGCTTGGAAAAATGATGATGAATAATATCTTGTCTCATAACAAATAGATAAATAATGTTATTTATGACCCATTTTGACCTTTTACTCTGTCATCTGATTAGGTCTGCTCCCTCTAAGTTGATGAGTCAACGTATTGCTCATGTTGGTCTTAGTCAACTACCATCTATTTGTCAATTGGACATTTAAGGCTTTTTTTTCATGAATTAGTATTTCAAAGAGATATATGAGCTTATCTCTGGTTCACAAGATTTAATGGGTTTTGCATGATCCTTACTGGAGAAACTCAGTTTTATAGATATGTTGATGAAATCATCTGCTTGAATAGTCAACCAAATGTTAAGACATTTAGAACAACAAAGACTTTCTTTAGTCAGCCCTGATGATTGCATGTCAGTTACTATATTATAACTTGTATTAGACTTATCCAAGACAATGTGATCTGATTCTCCCAAACCACTTTTTTGTTGGTTTCTTTTTGCCCAATTAGTATTGCATACACTCCATAAAAGGCATTTCATGTCCTCATGCTATGCGAAACCTAATCTGGCGCCATACATAATGGCAGCCCACTGCTCCTAAAACTAGGATGGGTCAAATGCAGAGGAACCGTTTTGTTACATAGTACCTGTACTACGTAATGACAATAAGTTGATTCTTCTTCTTCTTCATTAGGAAGCATTGTGCGGCCTTTTGTCTTGTGTTGTGATATGTTGCCAAAGTTTACAACAGTGCAAAGACTCCTAAAAAGATCAAGAAAACTATAATAGGGTAATAGCGGGAGTGTTTTTATGTGGCTTTGAAGCAGTTTCAGTGAGACTTTGCGCACACACACACAGTCAATTTCCTTAACACAACCTAAATCCTTGGATAAAACACTGTCATGCCATGCCATTATCACACAGACCTTTAGCACAATGAATTTCAGCGCAGTACTGAACTTAATCACATCAATCAGCCATAAGGCTGCCCGGTCCTGCCCTCTGGTTGACCCAAGCTGTTGTGCAATACTTGAACCAAAATTGAGGGCAATGCCTTCAGTCTCACTGCACCCACTGGGCTACTTAGGGGTCATGATCCTAGCTTTCATAGAACAGCAACATGACACTTGGGGCAAGGTGGGCAGCACTGACAGGGCTACCAAAGGAAAGTGTGTGTGTGTGTGTGTGTGTGTGTGTGTGTGTGTGTGTGTGTGTGTGTGTGTGTGTGTGTGTGTGTGTGTGTGTGTGTGTGTGTGTGTGTGTGTGTGTGTGGTGTGTGTGTTCTAATGCTGCTGGAAGGCAGCATTACCAATACAAACTACTAGCAACATAACTTTGAGATCTGAGACATTAGGAAATAGTGGAAGAAGCAATGTGGATGCAGTGGTGTGAAGTAACTAAGTACATTTACTCAAGTAGGCTACTGGGCTTAAGTAAAATATTGAGGGACTTGTTCTTTACTTCAGTATTTCTTTCTTTTGCTACTCTACTTTGATCCGACTACAGTTCAGAGGTTAAAAGTGTAGTTTTACTCCATTACATGTATTTAATACAAAAAGTTACTTTGCAGATTTGCATTAATAATGGGAAATATAAACAGAAAAATTACTTTAGTTACACCTGGAGTAACATTCACAAGCTACCCTGCTTGTAGCATACACAGTCATTAAAACTAGCTGCACGTTTACCAGCTTTGATAACACTTCAATGATCAATAATTATAATCAAAACATATAATATATATGATTCTGAAATGGGCCAACCCTCAACATGAGTACGTTTGGTAAGTATATGTTGATGCTAATACTTTTGTACTTTTACTTGAGTATCATATTCAATGCAGGACTTGTTACTTGTAACAGAGTATTCTTACACTGGTCATTTTACTTTTACTTTTAAGTACAATACCTGAGTAGGCCTACTTCTACTACTGCTGCTGGAAGCATTACCAATACAAACTACATGCAGCATAACTTTAATAACGGAGAAATGACATTGTAAAGAGTAGAAGAAGAAGACATGTAGGTGCAAACAAGTTGTCTAGATGAAATTACCTTTCTGGCCCCCTGCTTGGCAAACTCATTAGCCAGGTGACGCCCGATGCCTCGTCCCCCACCGGTGATCAATACCACCTCCTTGCTCAGGTCCTTCCTTCTGTTTGGCAACAGCGAAAACAAACTTGCCCTGACTATGTAATAGAGCATTTGAAAAGGGAAAAGGCACATACGACACGCGCTCTTCAAATCCATCTCGAAAAGTGCTCAGTGCGCCGATGAGCAGCCTATAATGTTTACGCTACACGTTTACGTGCACTTCTGGTGTCCTCCCAACTGTGCGATTTATGAGCAAGTTTGTCAGCATGCAAACACTCTCATCTGCAGCATCAGAAACTGTTGCATGAGTAATCCACTGGCGAGTACAAACTGTGTGACTTCAAGGAGCTCTGACATGACAGTCGACATGCATCACGCTCTGGAAATGAGTGAGTGATCCGTCATTACGCCTGTCAACCGCTGCTAGAGACGCTCCAACGTGAGAGTCCTGTCTGCGCTCCGTGGAGTGCGCTACTGAAACCGCTGGGCTTTGGAGTTGTGTTGCTGTCCTGTCCTCTCTGCTTTATATATTACCGCCTCTGCCCCGGCTTCGCTATACTTCTACTAGTAAAAGGACCTGGATGAACATAAAGGGGAGGTGTGTATGGGCATTAATCCTGATTGACATGTTAAGTGGGGATGAATATTTATTTGCTCCAGAGCCAGTCTGCCCCTGAGTGGTTGCGGACTTGCCTCTTCCCCCACCCCCTTAATGTGTGTACAGAGGTGATTCTCAATCTGTGGTCCGGGGCCCCCCAGTGGTCGCACCACAGCGTCCCAGGTGGGTGCCCAATCTTGTTTGGGAAAGTGTATTAACTTTCAGAAAAACAATGAGGTTTCAATCACTGTTTCACTGATAGCTATAAGTCAATACAACCACACTATTCTTATGTAAGAGCACCAGCTGGGGTTATTTGGACAAGGGCTTCATTAAAATGACTGATGGCAACTAATCCAGCCCTCCCATTAATTAAGTGAAAGAAATAAACAAACAAACAATTAATCAGTTAAGCATTAAACAAACACACAGCTGAGAAACCTGACAATTGCAACCACAACACTAACCCCCCCTTAAATAAGTACCCAAAGCAGATGGATTCCTTTCAAAAAATATACATTAACTGATAAACGTTTAATGTGCTTACCTTAACAAAGGGCACTTTTTACGCCAAATCTCATAATGACCAACACATCTGCTCCATCTTTTCTGTCAAGCTTCAATATTGTGATGCCTTGTAACACGTGTAAAAGTAAAGTTTAAAGATTCAATGTACCATGAGCTCGCATAATAAATAACAGCAAAACCTAACCAAAACATGGCATGCTTATTTTACATGTTTATTTTCATTTAAAGGGGCCCTATAACATGTTTATTTAAATTCAAAGGGGCCCTATTATGCTCATTCGTGGTTTAATTATATGATATGATTATATGTTGCATACTATGTGTTGGAGCGCTAGCCAATAGAAGGGCGAGGGTAACAGAGTGACATTATGTTACGGAAGTAAACCAAGGAGTCCAGTGGATGCGTTTCAGGCAGGAGGGTGGGGGGTTGTGGTCGAGGAACTCCCTCTGGAGTGAAGTTTGGGATTATAGCCTTTGGAGACCATTAATATGAACAAAAACCTGTACCACACATTACAGGAAAGGGAATCCCCAAAAAGCACAATAGGCCCCTTTAATGGTTCATAACATTTGATGTGTCCCTGCATTTGGGCTGGGATCATACGTGTGCAAAGTTACATCATTTATTTGAACCCAATTTGTTGAGGTAACATATTGATTTTTACAGTGGACTATATTTGTATCTGTGACATTGCAATTTGGGAAATAGGTCAGCTCAAGTCTCGGAAGCTTGGCTTGGTGACAAACAGAAAGCTGCCTGAATACCTCCAAAACAAATCATATCAATTCATGACCCTCAGACCAGATTCCAGTCTGTGATTTTTGGCCTTGGCACTGGGATTTTTTTTACTGGGTATCGCTGAATGCAGGGCTTTTTTCAGCAACTGGGGATGGGTTTAAAAAGAAGCTTCACAATGGTTGCTTTGTGCCGGGCTCAGCTACTTAGGGAAGGCAGAGAGGCTCTCGCAGGCTTAGAAAAACTCCAAGACAACAGGACTCCAGATGCTGTCTTCATTTTGGAAAATGTCAGAATTTTCAAAAGTGAAGCTGCGCTGGAAACTTATACCAAAGTATTCTTTCTCAGCTAAAAAGAAAACTGAAATTAAGTTAGTGGATTTGGGAAAACAAAAAAAAAGTCAAAAGATATATTACATTACAGTGGGTGGAAAATGGGTTTAGGCTGCATTGCAATAATGTAAATAGTATATATATTCCAGAAGGGCTGTTTATTTATTCTCATGCTATCACTGCCATCTACAGATCAGCCGTGAAAGTTCAGATAAGGGTGTTCTCTGTTTGCCTTCACTGGGAGCATCTATAAACATTTCTTTCTTTCTTTAGATACCAGACAATGAAAATGCCACTCTGAGCCTAGTGCAGCTGTAAGATTTCCTCGATACCAGGGGCATGAAAAAAGCCCAAATAACCAAACAACCTTGATCTAATTTGGAGAATATTACTAGGGATTGTAATAGGTACTAAATAAATGTATGAGTAATTACAAAAAATGTGTTTACAAATGCAGTGCAATATACCATCTGAAACAACAGTGGGAAACTGGTGACTACACATCCAAACAAGAGGGTGAAGGATATCATATTTTTTTCCTGGGCAACAGGAAGCCAAACATCATTAAGTGAAACCAAGGTCAAAATGCCTTGCACGCGGATGTGGGAGGGGTGGAGAAAAGGCTGAAAGCAGGTAGATAAAACATTTACTCCTAATGACTTACCTTCAGCAGAGCAGACCAGCAACACCATGGACATCGGCATAGCAATTTTAATAATTGGCTTCGCTGCTCTTGTTGCAGCCTTCCTCCTTCTGGTAATTGGACTTGTGTACTCTGAGCTGATGAATTCAGACATTCCTCGTGGGGTTGCAAATAGATGGAAACTGCACATGGTTCATGGCTTGTTTGTTGGCATAGCAATTGTGGTGAGTATTTATGGCGTCTAGGAAATTGTTAATGCTTATTATTTGTATGCTCCATTAATGTTTTGCATATTATGTTTTTAAATATTAAATGCACTTAATCCTTAGTGTGAAGGAAAATGACTGTTCGTCCAACAGAAAAAAATTACTCTTTTAGGCTGTTGTCAAAGATGGCTGTCCTTTCTGTGTCCTCCAGCAACTGATAAAGCTCACCTCAGAGACATTTTAGATAAGATATCAAGTCTAACAAAGGTGCATAAAAGGCAAGGTCATGTGTTCCCTTTCTTTGATGTTGTCATGGTAAATACGGTCTCTCAGACAGAATAACTTTGACTTTGACTTAATCTATCAAGAACACTGATAATTCTTTGTATTTGAAACATACGTCTGTGGTACCTTTCCCCTAAAGGGTCGTATCCTACATCGCCTGGGTGTTTGTCATCAGATCAGCTTTCTCCGATGGTTTGTGGCCTGTTTCCTGACCCGCTTAAATCCAGTTCCTGCGGGTCTGCGAGTGAAGGATATGAAGTTTTCTGATGTCCCGGTGCGAGTCTATGAACCCACAACAGTGTGTGACGGCTTGAGAAGAGGTCTTGTGTATTTACCTGGAGGTGGATGGGTATTGGGAAATAAAGGTAAACAACGTTAAAATAATTCATTTGAGTCATACTGTAGAATGATACTCTTTTATGTGCATTAAAACCGTCATTTGTATAGTTTTACCTGGCATGACCTGAAATCTATATCCACATAAATAATCAAGTTTTTTGCAGTATTTCTGAACTTAAATGAACTTAAATGTGTTGTTAAGACTTAGATCATAAATTAAAGGACATTTGAATATATTTGCAGATAAAGTTCCCCTCTTTTATATTAATTTCCACTGTTTATTTTACATTTGGCTCAGGAACAGACGCTTAAGATAATTAATGTTTATATTATTGTAGAAAAAAGGTTGCAGTCTCTACCAAAAAACTGTTTTTGCTTATCTTTAATGTGTTATTATCTGTCCAGGTGTTGGATACTTTATATGCTAGACAGTTTGTTCCCATATTTTAATTATGTGGTGTCTGGAAAAAAACGGAAATTAAAAAACAGAAAGTTGAGTAAAAAAGAAAGTTGTAAACTGTGTAAATACATAGTTAATATAATAACTACACTTTTTACTTGAAATGTGTACTTTCCATCATTACCATCACAGTATGCTCACCGAATACACAGTGTTGACAGCGATAACAAAGGTTGCCATTCTGTCTTTAGTGCTAGCATATATTCTGCTAACAGTGATCCTAATTCTCCACAGATTCTGTCGATGAAGTCTGTCGGCACATCGCCAAGGAAACCAACACGACGGTGGTTTCTGTTGGGTACTTAAACTTTTCAATTCAAATAAATACTCCAAAAAATCTTCCAAAGAGCCAGAGCTAACCATATTGTCACTCCACCTTCCCTCTCACCCCTCTCAGGTACCGATTAGCCCCTGAGCACAGGTACCCTGCCCCGCTGGACGACTGTGAGGTAGCGACATGTCACTTCCTGTCTGTGGCCGAGGCAGAGTTTAGCGTGGACCCTCGCAGAGTGGCAGTGGGAGGGGACAGCACTGGGGCTAACCTGGCAGCCGCGCTGTGCCAAAGGCTGGCGAGGAGAGAGATCGGACATCTGCTGTTCCCCTGCGCTCAGGTCCTCATCTACCCAGCCCTGCAGATGGCAGATTTCAACCTGCCCTCATACCAGCAAAATCATGCTGTGCCCATATTGTTTCGTGGCCGTATGGCGTTCTACTTCCTGCAGTACCTCAATGGGGACATGTCGCTGTGCCAGGACGTTTTGGAAGGCATCCATGTCCCAAATGAGCTCAAGCCACGTTATGAGGAGTGGCTCTCCCCTTCTAATCTTCCTGCTGGGTTCCTTGCACGGGGTTACGATAAGCACCCAACCCCTGAGTATGATGGGCAGGTGTATCACGCAATGAAAGATGGTCTGGAACACGAGGTTTCTCCTTTATTGGCGGAAGATGCTGACATTCAGAAAACACCTCCCACCTTTATCCTCACCTGTGAGTATGATGTTCTGAGGGATGATGGGTATCTGTATAGGAAACGACTGCTGGACATGGAGAAGGATGTGACCTGGCACCATGTGGCGGGGGGTTTCCATGGCATGATTAACTTCTTTAACCAGCGCTGGCTCGGCTTTCCCTCCGCAGTGCAGGTGCTGGATTGTGTTGTGGATTACATAAAGAAACTGTGAAAAGCATGTACTTTATTCTACTTTCTATTTTGTTATATTTTTTGGAATAAACAAATCTTGCCTCGAGTGACAACGTTTTCTTCTTCATTAAAAGTATATTGTTCAAAGAAGACTAAAAACTCCACACAAATCGATAACAAAACTTGTTTTATACCCAAAATAAATAAAGTAGCCTGAAGACAAACAGTGTGAAAACAACTTCTGGCACCATTTTATCAATATAGAATGTTAAAAAGTTAGATGTCATGCCCAAGTCTTAAGAAATGCATCTTCTTTCAACACAGATGTAAGACATCTCCTATTTGCTTCCAGGATACTCCGCTTGCCTCCTCTTTCAGTGTTTGCTGTATCCATAGCAACAGAGCTCTTCTATTTCCTAGGCCATCATGGGGCCAGGTGAATGCTCCTACATGCTATCTGTTTGATAGCTAGGCCTGCGGATTTCCCTGGTTGGGTGCATTTGGCTCCAGGTAAAACATGAAGCAAACTGGGACATCACAGGACAAATGGTCCCAACCCGGCTGGAGGATAGAGCAGAAGTATGCAAACAAAGTGCTGTTAGGCAACTGGGCAGAAGACAGACTTCAGGTAAGTATTTTTTTGCTTGTGTTATTTCCATTTGTCTGAATAAGATGATCTGATTTAATCAACTTCAATTGAATGTGAGAATAAAAACTATCTATGCCTCTTTTTTGCTGTGAATCCGCAAACATAATGCAATACAAGTGGCAGCTTGCCAAGGGTTTTGTAGCACCTCAGTTGGTAGTCAAATCTATCGCAGAGTGATTAGCAGCCTCAGTTCAGCTACCTCAGCACAGCCTCCTGGTGGGAGAGGCAAGAGCCGGAGACTAATTGCATCGACGTGAGGTTCGGCCACGGGCTGCTGGTTCAGGATCTGAGAGGAGAAATGACTTAAGAAACACTGTACAACAGAGCGGATCGATAGCGAGTTGTGAGCTTTGCTGATCGTTGCGCTGGGCTCATTGCTCAAGTCCCTGTATAGGCCTATATCCTCCCCACACCTCCTCATTCCTCATTTGTGATGTCTGTTTATTCTGTCTGACGCAGTTCACTCGAGAGGCAGAGACAGCCAGCAGCACATATCGTTCAGACCACCGCCCCCACTGGGACTTCAGGCCAGACGTCTCTGTGAGGAGGACTGCCCTGCATAGAGCTGAGGTCAGCCTTAAACCGGTCATTCGCGGCATTAACACCAATTGAATGCCTGTCAAAACCCTGCGAGTCAGGGCTTTATTCTCTAGATTGTGGCCACTTCTGCATAATATTGACGGCTTATAGATAAAGGCCTGTGATAAACTCTTTATGAAAGCAGGTTTCTGGTCAGACTCAGCAGCCGTGAAAAATGTGTAAAATCATCAGTCCTATCGGGCACTTAAAGGCTACTTAGAGCAATTTGCTGCTGTCACATGCTGAGCCTTTTGAAGATCATTGTAAAAGAACAGGTCATGCCCTTTTTAATCTTAATCCAGTGAAAGCTAATGTATATGTGTGTCGAGACTGCTCTGTATTTTCTTACAGGGGCTTCCATCCAAGCTGCTATTTGACCACCATGGCCCACCATCCTCTCATTACTTGGTCACACACTATGGAGAGAGCTACCAGCACACCAATGCTTTGCCCAATCTGCGACCATGGCATCCAGACAGCTTGACAAGGCAGCTGGAGAGGGTTAACCGGCCAATTTCTGGTAAAATAGAGCACAATTTAAAGTACCACAACTGCCGAAAGGTGAAGATTATATTTACCGTGGGTGTATTCAAAACATACTTCGCTATATTAAATTTTGTTCGGACAAATCACATCAGCAGTGCTTGAACAATTAAACTTAGTGCCCCCAGATGCCTTTGTTATGGTTCCAGGTCAGTCACCAGTGTAATTAATGGCCACAGTAACATGGCAGTTAACTTCTCTACTGTGTTCGCTCACAGCCCTTCCAACCAACGCTGGCCCGCCGCGGTCCACAAAGCATCGTTTGGAAAAGCAGCAGTCACACCTCCCGTCGCTGACTGTGTACGGGTCAGCATACCAGAGGCACCCACTTAGTGCCTTCTACCAGAGCCGCTTTGCCAGGGCTTCACGCATGCTCTCCAGCCACCTCCACGCAGCCAATCACAACAACAAGGACCTGGATCTGAGGCGGCACTCATTACTACTAATCCCAGATCATTGTTTGAGTCAACTTCAACAATCATGACAGGCTTAGAGAAAACGATGGGACTCTAGAATTGCTTCACACGCTGCATGTTAATTTAGAAGTCCTGTTCAAAGTGCTGTGTGTTTCCTCTAATGTGTTAGTCAGCTGCATGACAACACTGAACAGAGCAAAGCATTCGGCAAATCAAGAATAATTAAATAATTAAACATGATTCTCATTTTATGTTTATGTTTATTAAGGATCCCCATTAGCTTTTGCTCTTGACAAAAGCTACTCTTCCTGGGGTCCGACACTTAAAACAATACAACATTAATACAATAATAATACAATAACATTCAAGACATAATTCCTGACATCATTAACAACATCACCAACATCATCAACAATTTCCAACATCATCAACAATCTCATCCACTTTCAATATCAATCTCAGCCAAGGATGAGTACACTAGACACCCACCAGTACAAAGCATGAGATCAAATTAAATTAGGGTTCACAGCTCACAAGGGTACATGGTCATTAGTAGATGGCACTTCAATCTCTTCTTGAAAGAGGCTCTGGACTCTATTTCAGTAAGGTAGTTTGGCAATGAGTTGCATTCCTTTATTGCTCTATAAGACACAGAAGATTTCAGAAGATGTGTCCTGGGTTTAGGTGCCAGTAGATGGCCTGATGTAGCTTGTCTAGTCTTATGGTCATGCTCGTCTCTTGTGTAAACTATTTGATCATAAAAATACAGTGGTCTTTTGCTAAATTGGACATTTTTTAGAAAAGTGATAACACGAGATTGCAGACGTTTCTCAACCGGAAGCCATGATAGGCTTCTATGCATAACTCCAATATGAGTGCGCTTCGAACAGTGGAGAGCTAGTCTGGCAGCCTTGTTCTGAGCTATTTGTAATTTCTGTATATATATTTTTGCTGCTGATGACCATATGACCGGACAGTACTCAAGATGTGACAAAACCAGAGACTGAATGACTTGTTTCAAAATGGTTGGTGTTACATACTTTGTACATTTTCTCGTCAGAGCTATGCTCCTTCCCATTTTAGTTACGATACTGTCTATTTGCTTTGTCCACTGTAAACCAGAATCAAGAACAATGCCAAGCAACTTAGTCTTGTTTACCTGTTCCACTGGCTGACCAGCCAGTGTCAGGCTTAATTGAGGATTGCTGCTTAACATATGTCTGGATCCAAACATCATTGCTTTTGTTTTTGCAATGTTGAGTACCAGTTTGTTATTGTTGACCCAGTCTGCTATGGCTTTAATCTCTATTTTAAGTAGATAGTTTAACTCACTGCATGTTGATGCTGTACTATACATTGTGGAATCATCAGCATACATTATTACACTGGACTTATTTAATACGTAAGGAAGGTCATTTGTGAATATTTTGACCCTGTAAAGACTGTGGGTTACTGTGTGTTGTGAGTAGTCTTTAATGTTTATATATATATATATATAAATGTGTGATTTTGTTTAACCCTCCTGTTGTGTTCGTTTCTCCCCTCTTACTTTGGTTTTCCAGATCAATTTGAATGGTCTGCTAACTGCTCTTACATTAACACAAAACCATTAACAATCACTAAATTGTATTAAACACGTATCAGACTACTGGTTTAAATGAATAACTGCAGTAAATATAGAAGGAATAGACAGTGAAAATGTATTCCAAAATTTACTTTTGGTCGATTTGTGGGTGTGTACTATGTAATGGATGAATATAATGTGTACCCATTCATTTCCTATAGAAGTAATTTTTGACCACTCAAAGTTACAAAGTTGAATTCTATGTAAGTGTTGATCAGCAATTGTATATGTATACAAATGCCTAGGATATCATAAGGCCTTGAAGCCTCAAATGAAAAATATATATATTTCTGATTGATGAAAGAAGTAAATTGGATTTGACCAAAAACGACAGAATGATTAAGAAGGAGAAAGTAAAGTGCTATAATTTAGTTCTACCAGAGGATAATAACTACATTATCCCACGTTCTACCAATTATATCTGAATAATGGGCTATTATGACCATAGAAACAATGATGGAAACAAATAACTACAAGAATTGTGATGCAAGTACTGACCTGTAAATCGAGGCAAACCGGAGGCCCGAGTCATCCCAGGCAACATCTGAAGGGACGTGTCTAACTCCGATTCAGTGAGGTGTTTTGTTACAGGGGATCAAAGTGTTTAATTAGGGAGAATCAAAGGTGCTTATGTTTGATGGTCAACCATCTGCGTCTGTTTCCCTCTCCCTGCCTGCCTGCTGCCTTCCAGTGCACCTGAAGCACTTCACCCACTGTTTAGCTAGTGAGTCACTCCACTGTGCTGCTAATGACTGCACGTCACATGGCTCCTCTGAGATGTGAGAAGTCTATAGCCTGAACATGTTCTTCCCTATGCACTGTTGTGTGTGCCTCGTAAGCCACATGATGGTGCTATAGCAGCATGTCACTCTTTGGAATATGTCAGTGTGTCTTTGAAGTCCTCTGCATTACAGCAAATGAGCAAACAATGACGGATTTATTATTTTTCATATTATTCGTATGCTTATATCCATTGTTATTGTAATTGCTTAACACCACAAGTGCTTAGATTGTTCCTATGTTATTCTTTCATTGGTTTTAGGTCGCACAAATACTGAAATAGACATTTGGATTACTACCCATACTCATTAATTGTAGGTTAATGAGCAATGAATACAATTTATATCATTCTTTTCATGTTTATAAAACAAGGAATTTATTTGGTACAATGAACACAAATACAAATGATGGCAAAATAATACAATTATACAAATAAAAGTCTTAGTATTGAAAGAGTCACATAAGTAGTGAAAAAAATGCTTATCGAAGCCCACCTATTTATATTGTATGACACATCCATTTACACCCTGTCATTTTAAAGAGCAAGTTTACATAATTGCGTTGTATCCAGGCCACTGTGTAAGTTATATTTGTGCCCTACACAGTGGAGTCGAATGATTGATTATCACTTTATTGCCCAATCTTTGTAATGTGTTAGAGTTGAATGAGCTCATTTACTCTGAGTCTTATTTATGAACTATCTAAAGAGGTTAAGCATCTGGAGTGATATAAAACCAACGTAATGGCAGGAAGGAGTGGCAAATCAAATAAGCAAACAATTGACATGGCAGCACATCCTGCGTAAATCTAAGCAAACAGTAGTTGGACTAACATTAAGAGTCTAATATTTGACATCTGCTGCTGCCAGGGACTGAGACATTAGAAACAAACATTCCTTTGTGCGACCCAAGGACATAAAGTAGTGTGATGGTTTTAGAAAGGTGATCTTCAGAAAAAACCTAAGACAGCACAGAGTTGAGTTTTAACCTGAGCAGAGCACTCAATAAGAAATCAGAACAAGAAACTGGAGAAGTATGCTCTTGCAAGGATATTCCATCATGACCTAATCTTTTCACTAATAGAAAACTGAGTCCTCCTCACACACTGGTCTGCCGAGGCCTCTTATCAGGGAGTGAAAGGACAAAGGGGAAAAGTATGCCTTTCGCTGCAGAGAGGACACTCAAGTTCTCATCTATGAAACCGGGAGAGATCTCATCAGCATCGAACCTCATGGTGAACTGGCGGCTTACACAATAGATCGTGCCATCCATTGCGACACACTGGAAGGCGGGGCAGTGATGAATCCTTTTGGTGCTGCACTCGTACCACATTCGAGCCACGGTATGGTAGCGGTACACTCCCAGACCCAGCCGGGGGTTAACATCAAAACGATACAGAAACCTCCCCACGCCTATAATATCTGCAGTTCTGTCTTTAGTTCCTGCTAGCAGACTTGGCCTCCAGGTGTTGGTTTTGGGGCTGTAGCGCAGCAGTATGCATCTCAGAGTTCCCCCAGAAACAAACAGCTCTCCACTGCACACAGCGACGTGATGCGCCACAGCGAATGTATCATTAGGCAGTGGAGCCACGTACGTCCACCTGTCCAATCGCGGGTCGTAGCGCTCCACTGAGGAGAGGCACTCCCCTCCGATGGCGTAGATGAAGCCCTCCAGTGCTGCCAGTTTGCAGCGGGGCCTGGCTTCATTCATGGGACTGATCTCCTTCCAAATTGATGTCAAAGGATTGTAGCAAAACACTCGCTTTGAGGGTGTCATTTCTCTGTCTGTGCCTTTGCAGCCTACCGCCACAAATAAGTAGTTATCCATTGTGCACATGGCGCAGGCTTTAGAGATGACCTCCTGTGGGATCAGGCAGAGTGTATGCCAGGCGTCTTTGTAGTCATCATAACAGTACACTGCACTGGATGTCCTCCTCTGCTCCGTCTCTGCCGGTTGCCCTCCTGTGTTCCTCGCCCAGTCTTGAGGGTCCATATCTGCCACAATGACAAACCTCCTCCCTCTCATCCTCTGCTTTTGGATTTGCTCCCGCTCACCAGCCATTAGCCGCCCATAAAGGTTGGGGTCCCTAATCACCTGGAGGTAGTTGTCTGACATGACTCCCAGGGCTGCTTTCTGCACAGAAGTCTGGCCATGTTTCTTGGCAAGACACAGTGTCTCCAAACAGTTTCCCAGATTGAGTATACTATTCAGGCTCTCCAAATCTTTGCCATCGAAATCTTTCGCTGTAAGGTCTAAAAATGCTGCTTCAGTCTCTGGATCTGCACCCTCCTTTACAGTTATGCCTTTGCCGTCTGTAGAGTGACAGATCGTGGGGTGAGCAGTGATGGACTCAGTGCTGGTTGGGGCCAGAGAGTGAGTCACTGGAGTTGAAGCGCTTGTATTTAGAACGGGGATGTAAAGCTCCGACTGCTCTGCTGCTGACAGATAGCTCTCCTTGCGTAGGAGTACAGGCCTTGCGGGGTGCCTCCGTTTCAGGCATTCCAGTGACGGATCCTCAAAATTGCTTTGTGGAAAAACTAGATCACGCATGATGATGGGGCTCAGAGAGGACGGAGACTCTGGGAGGCTGCTGCCCCGACTTCCCAGCTCCACTGGCTGTGACTCAGAGTTCCTCTCATACTGACTCAGCACAGTGTTTAAGCCTGTAATGGAGTGCGAGGAAGACTCCACATAGTAATCATATATCTTTCCCCACACTATCTGGTCTCCTGTTCCCTCCAGCACCACGTTAGCATCCTCCACTTTGATCTCTGCCTTGGAGAGGAAGCTGGAGTAGGCCCCCTGGTGCTCCAAGTCCTGCCTTAACTCCCTGCCCACACCCACAATGCCCTCCAGCTTCTGCAAAAAGCAAGGGGAGCGGCGCCCCGTTGCACTGGCCATCCCACTCTCAGTCGGATGAGGAAGGTTCAAAGCAGATCCAAATGAAATATTACTGGTGGCAACCTCGGCCTGCTTCTGATGAGGGAGTATCGCTTCTTTCATGCTGACACTATATGACATACTAAAAGCATCCTCACTGTTTTCAGCTTGGCATGCAGGAGCTTCTGCTTCTGTTTCCGTGGTGTTGTCAGACGTCAGGTCATCAGGTTGCGAGGGTCTGGGTCGCGTGCCCCCATCATCCGTGTCATGTTCTGATGAGCTTTGACTACGTAGCAATGTCTTGCAGTTTTGGCAGGTTGCCTTTTCTGGTCCTTTTTTGTCTTTGACAGAGAGCTGAGTTTTCTGAGCGTCCCTGGCGCTGTGGAACCTGTAGGCCCATGAAACCAGCAGCACGGCAGCCACAGAGAGACTCAGTTTCAACAGCAGCTGCATGTCGAACTGCACTGCCAAAAGCTCTGCAATGGGCATAGCTGGAAAAGCGATGGTGGCAACGATTGGTCCACTGATCCTATTGAATGTTGTTGTCAATGCGTCTCAGTTGCATGCTGTCTGGCTTTCATTGTTAAGGAGCTGCTGTGATCTAATGACTGTGCCTCTTTGGCCACAGGATCAAGTGTAAAATGATACCTCTAGAGAAACTATTTGCATCACTGGCTCTCTAGAGGCGGGGCACTGGTCGTACAACACCTGGGGCAAGGCAGATGCAGATTCAATAACCATACGTAAATACTGTACCACATAGATCAATATTTGGTTATGCAATTTGCTGACTCACCCAAACTTTCCTATATTTATCAGAATGTCATCAAATAACTTTCTGAATACATGATCTGATCATAACTGATGTTTGCTGCATTTTGCTCATTTTAAATGAAGGAGGAGTGGTTCAGGTCATACTTTATTTTGTCCATTTCTGAAAATTACCCTAAAAAACATTGTCATAGATGGATCCTTCTTCCTAATTTGTTCACACAGACAGCTAAAGCTGCATGAGGAAAACACGGTTTGCATAAGGGGTGGGGTTTTAAAACGGATGACATTCATCAAACACTTAATAACCAGGATGCATCTGTTTGCACAGCCATGCCACAGATCAAAGGTCCTTTTGCTGTGCAGATGATACAATTACTTTCTTTAAAGGTAAGCTCAAGATTGCTGTCAAGCAACGAAATGGCAGTCACTTGGAATTATAAACGTGTGGAACTGTAAATAATAAGTTTACAGTGTCTACAGAGAAACCCGAAAGTGCCATTCACTCCCATATACTATGCAAACATACTTCTCTGTCACCGCTGGCAGGCTGTCATTTGTGTGGCTGATAACACACTTGAGCGAGTCTGTGCTCAACAACAGAGCAGTGTTTATTTTAAAGGTGTGTCACGTGGAGAGGCATACAGAGGGCGTGTCAGGTGTCCTACTATAGCTGACATGAGTGCTTTTTGGTCATCTGATACCCAAGCCTGCAGACGATATGAAGGAAACTGGATTCAGCAGGCATGGTTGACTACTGGATAATTGACGAATGGGCCAAAGAGGCTGCTTCTTATCCTCGCCATTGATCCAAGCTCAGGTGCACTATTCAGAGCACAGCTAAAAAGAAAACATTGAGTCAGTCATGTGCATTGTTGTGTGACACCTTCACCTTGCTTGTGTCATCAATGATATGAGTGCAACATGTGGCTGAACAAGAACAGAACATAAATGTTTCCAAGGTGTATTCTTTTTTTGTAACCCTTTGAGAATAGTGAAGCGTGTCAGGCATAGATGGGATGTAGTAAAAAATAAAGCTTTATATCTTGTGCCTATCACATTTCTTGAGTGATCAATTTGTTAAGGAACAAAGGAATATTTAATGAGGGCTCAAACTCATCAGACTGTCTCACTAATAAACCTCAACACCATCTACTTTAATTGGCCAACAGAACAATGTCTACATGTGTTAATAAAAGGTTCATACAAAAAGCTTGCTCTTGTTTTCCCACTGATGTGGCCATGTGCTACAATGGCCCAACACACTTCCTTTAGGAGAAATGTGCTACAGCTTCAGAAATTATGCAATTATTGATGCAAACAAATTTGCCAAAGCACATGAAAATGAAGAAACATCTTCACCAGCTTGAAGCTTCATGCATAGGGTTTAGTAAAAAGGGTTTCATAAACGAAATGCTGCAAATAACAGAACGCTGCAAGAAGCTCGAAACACAACGGAAACGGGGACACTAGAAAGTACTGCACATGGACCGGAGCTTTTGTTGGCGTTCGGTGATTGTAAAGTTGGCCAACTATCACTGTTGGTACCGTTAGCCTGTTCCATTGTAAGTGTGTTGTCAGTATATTTGAAATGACTAGGCTAGCTAGCTAAAAGCAGATTTGTAGTAATAACAGAAGAAGTTGGTGAATATCTTCTAAATGCTGCTTGTGTCGTCAAGTTGGTGAATATGTTTTTTCATTTTCATGGGATATGGAAGGTATTTGCATTGTTTTTCAAACTGTAGCCTGTTTCTCCAAATGGAAATGTTTTGGGCCGTTGGAACGTGTTTGCACCTGTCGGCCACCGTAGTTGTCTCAACAATTGCTAAAAGTATTACTTTCTGGCTAAGAGCATATGGATGTCCATACATTTAAAATGGTTATATGCATTACTTGTTACTCTGAAATAATTGAATGAAATATACTACTATATAACCTTTGGATAGTTGTAATACACAAAGATACACACAAAGTTATGGTGTACTTTCCTATTGGAATCATCATAACAAAAAGACAATTTGCACATTCTCTAATGCATTCAGAAATAGAAAATTGAGCTTTTCTTCTCTCTTGAATGCAAAGTGAGTGAAAAAAGGTAAAACAAATAGCACAGGAGTGCCTTTTGAATCAAAATGTAAATGATAGCTGTGTAATAATGCTCTACAGTGGGTGGACAAGCATCCGTGCCTTTTGCTTCCCCTCACCCCGAAAACAAATTAATTCAAAATGCATTTGACTGTCTGTTAATAATGTTTGTGCTATGCAGCTCTCATCTGCAGATTCAGGAATATGGATTGTACTCTGGCAAGGTGAGCCGATATCCCAAACGGATATGTCTATGCTTTATTCGACTAAGCTTTATAAATCTCCCCTCTTACCTCCTACCTGGTTTAAACCTTAATCCCTTAATACATTTTTGTGTCCTTAGAATAGCTTAAATTGCAATTCTTGTGAAGTCCAAAAAATGAAGGATTATTCTGCATTAAATCACCCTCCACTCAGTTGGAGCGGACACAAACTGGAAAGGGTAAACAAAAACGTCAGAATCTCGTTTAAAAATCGTGTTGGGGTCAGAACAATCGGAAATATCATCACATTTTTTGAGCTTGCTTATAATCGAGCAGGCATACACGTACATCTCCGTCTCGAGACAGACCCTCGTATACTGAGATAAAGTAAACAATGCCTGCAACAATCTAGATATTGCGAAGTGAGAAATATAAGATGTTACCGTCCCAAGCATCAATCAAACAAGGAGCACATCTAGTACTGAACATGTCGAACACAGTGTTATAAGTAAAGTCAAGTCTTGTAAGTTTGATCATCTCTCCATTTTAATACAGGTGAAATGAAACAAATGCAACAACCCTGTTTACACACTCTGCCTAAAGTGAGCACCTCCCTGGAATGGCGGCTAAAATGATCCTACTAGTACTGCAGATGTCTGTGTAAGAGTTACATATTGTACACAATGTAGGTCACTTAAGATAGTATGTCACAAGTGAACAACTGGATTACAGGCCAGTGACAATGAGTTGCAGTGCTATCAATTGCAACACAACAAAAGGAGAAATAATCTTCAAACGTCACATGCACCACAACCCCAGAACAGCAGACATATGTCAGATATTTTTTTTATTTTTTACACTGTCCTTGGAGACCTGCCATATATAAAAAAGCCCGAATGAGAAACAGAAAGGCTGTTAATGTGTCTGTCCTTTCAGCCAAGAATTATTCTGAGAACAGTGTTGAATGACGTACAAACAAAGATGGAGAAGTGTAAACTCCAACTATATCAGCAACCATCCCTCACCATAACCCATATAACCTCTTTAATTATTTTCAATATTTACACTGATGTACACAAAATACACTCAAAAAGGAGATTTTTTTTTCGTAATGCATTTAAATCCTCTTGTACATTCCGAGCCATCAGAAAAAAGCAATACTTGTATATCAATAAAAAAAGAATGTTCTCTTGGAGCATCTGTGTTTGTTCCCCCCACGGTTTATCATCTTGTTGCTAATCAGGTGCATCCCAGGACATGGAACAGATGGGAGTGGTTGATATGGGGGTACTGTACATCCTAAGCCAGTTACACTTTTCACATTTCAGTCAACACAATGACATTTAGACTCGTCAAAATAAAAGCCAAATGCTTTTTTCTTTTCTCCGTTTCAAATCATCTGATTTTATTGATCAACAGGCAGACGTGGGACAAGAAACAAAAACAGGTGTAACTGGGAAGGGCTATATAGGAGGGGGTTATTGTCATGTTCATCACGTTTGTTCTTTTGATAATAATATCGTGGTTATTATTTTATTCCAAAAAACAGAAGAGTGCACAGTCATGGCACAGTTTCCTGATCGATTGATGCATGGAGGGCCTGTTGATGACTGGAGAAGGCTTGCAGGGTTTGTGGAAAATATGAGTCTGTGCATGTGTGTATGTGTGTGTTTGTGTGGATGTTGTCTAAGATGGGCAAGTATATGTTTATGTGTGTGTGTGTGTGTGTGTGTGTGTGTGTGTGTGTGTGTGTGTGTGTGTGTGAGAGTGTCTTGGATGAGAGGTTTCACGTCAGTTCCACTGTCACTGTGAGGACAAGTGCCATCCACGTTAGTCCGAGCACGTCCAGACGGGAGGCTCCATCTACAAACACCAAAGAAACAGTCAATAAGACAAACACACACTTCCTCAGGCTTCCATTCATCAATCAGCAGAGTCATATTTCAAAAAAAGTGTTTAAATGCATTGATCCCAATTACTTTTAGATCTGAACCCTGTTAAATGTAATGAGCCGGATATAGTGTGAAGTAATCCTACAATAAGTGCAATAAACCATGAAAAGCCACACTCTGTATATTCAAATAATGCATACCATTGTAAATAGACCACAATGCATTTGCTTGTTAAGAAATAAGCAGTTTTAGTTACCAAAAATGTGTTATGTAAATTAAGCTATTTCTACCAAAGGGAGAAACTTTAAGGGAGTTGCTTTAAAAACAATGGACATTTTAAAACACAAATGTGCCAAAACACATTCAAATAAAGAAACATTTTCACCACAACACATGCGCAGCCATTAGAAAACATATTAGAAAACATTCACTTGACGAATAATGAAAGTGGATAATGATACCAATAAGACCTCTCAAAACACGATTGGCGTCTGCAGTCAATTTAATTGTATTTTTATAACCAGATATCAACCCCTATGTCCTTCTATCCTCGATTTAGATCAGAAAAAAACGGGGAGGTTCGTCTACAGAATTAACATATTACAA